ATTACAACCCTAATAATGTAATAATAGTAATAGTCTTTTCTCTTTTCGCAATAATATGGGTTCCTATATTTATGTTGTGGTGGTATTAATGCAGCATTGCGTGATAGAATGTTAATATATACAACAGTATTCATCAAAATTATGCTATTGTGGTATCTACCCTTTATTAATGATTGTTAATCTCCCATGTGTTTCAGCCCTTCCAAAAGACTATTGATACATTATCTCAGTCTCAAAATGACCACAGGACGAATCCTGCCCACGTCAGAGTTTCCAAGGAGGTGAAATGTACCCATGGGTGTAAAGCCTTTAGAAAAGTGCCCGACTCGTAGTCATAGAAGAGTAAATACAAACTATTAGTGATCCAGCTCAAATGTTCTCTGTAAAACATTTCCATTAATCAAAATGGATTCTTTCTTCTACTAAATATTTTTTTCCAGCTCGAAGTATTATCATCTTTATCTTTTTCCTTGTTCCTCATGGTTCTTCATCTTTCTGTAATGCTCATTCTCATGATTAACATGAAGATATTAAGGTCTGTTTCTTTAGTGGTGCAATCGGAGCTGCAAATAATTTTCAGAAAATGATTCTACCACAGGATGTGTACTGACTCTTTCTTCCTCCCAAACGTCAGTCGCATCCTTTGTGTCTCCTTCATAGTGAAACACCTCCCAAGCTTAAAAAAAAGAAGCCATACACAGAAATCCAGCAAAAAAATGCCAGATGTAATTCAATGCCCTTGAATTTTCTTTGGGTTCTGTGGATTACTCCAGGGCTGGACAGGAAGGCCACTGTTTCTATTTGTTCTTGTCTTCACGCTGCAATATATTTTCCATACACCTGCATTTTTGCTTTTTTTTATTTTTTCATTCATCTTCTTTCCAATCTGTACCTGAAAGATTAGTATTTATAATTTGAGAGAATTGACAGAACCACAGAGTAATGCAATCTAATGCACCTGCAGAAAATTTGATATAAATAATCCTAGATCAGGAGACTCTCCTCTCACATCCAGTCATATCAACCTACATTTCATGGTACTTTACCATGCAGGTCACTTTATCATGTGTTCCTAACTTAACCTTAAAAATAACTCTGTTACAGATATTTTTTAAGTGTAATCAAAGACCCTCAGAAGGGTAAAGCAGCTTTTTCTTAGAGGTAGCAGATGGTGAAATTGAAACGCAAACTTAGAACTCTTTATCCTTTGTCTGTTTTTACTACAGTTTTTCATTGTTGTAAGAAGAGTTGCTAGAATTCTCCCTAGTAACTTGTTACCCAACAGCTCTTGTGGTCATAATGCTGTTCCAAGTGCCCAGGGTAAATACATCCTGCTGAAATTAAAGATGACTACTTTCCTATCACTTGAACTAAAGTTAACTTCCCAAGGTCCTTGATGGAAGGTAAAATGATCAGAGTTCATAAATCAGTGAAAAATAGGGCCCCTCTTTTAAAAAACTGTGTTATCTAGGAAAGGAATCAGCAGGCTTTTTCTATAAAAAGGGCAGAATAGAAAATATTTTAATCTTGTGGTCCAGTCTCTTTAAGACTACTCAACTCTACTGTTGTGTAAAAGCAGTCAAAGGCACTATGCAAACGAATGGGCATAGCTGTGTTGCAATAAAATTTTATTTACAGAAACAGAGAACAGGAACGATTTGTCTCTTGGGCTATAGTTTGCCCACCCATGGTCTAGAAGTTACTCACTTTAGTTCATTCTGGAAAAATGGAGAATAACATTCAGGTTGTCCTTGCTGAAGCACTGAGAGGAACATCGATCAGAGGGCGAGTAGACATTCTCCTGTGTTAGGGGCGTTTGTCTTATACAGAATGGAAGGGTGAGGGTTTGCTCCAGATACCCTGCAAGCCTCTGTCCCCTGAACCTTATGACAGGATAGGGTGCTAGCCAGGGAGACACCGGCACACATTCTTTCATTCCACGCTTGCTCTCGGGCTCCTTATTTTGTGTTATGTTGGCAACTCTGGGTGAACAAAGAGTAACAAGCCTCGCTGGCAGCCTTCCAGGCGTTTCCAGTCTGGAGTAGGATTTGGAAGGAAACAGTGAGGATAGACAAGCGCCAACTAAAACATACCATAAAGGAAAAGTTTGGAAAGGACAGGTAAGGAGGTGTTAGCAAAGTGCCCTGAGAAGACCAAGGCAGGAGAGATGAGTCTGCTCCTAGGTGAAGAGGGCTGGGGTGACGGGACAGGGTGGCATCTAGCTGGCCCTCAACCCCTAAAGGATCTGAGGGAGGAGTGGGTCAAGAAGATGCAGGAAACATGCAGAAAATAGCGTGATCGCCTGTGGAGTGGGGGGGCAGCTGAGGAGAGGGAGAAAGGAGGGGAAATGGGAACTGCAAGTGCAGCCAAGTATTCTGAGAGCCTCAAAGGTCAAGCTGAGGTGTTGGGATTTTACTTCACAACATAAAGGAGCCCTGGGTGGTTCTTGACCAGGAACGTAAATCGGCTCAGAACTGGGCTCTGCTAAGAGAATATCACCAGCAGTGTAGGGCAAGCTGGGTTCATTAAAATGATCCTCCCAGAACGCTGTCTGAGAGAAATATCACACGAAACGCAATTGAAGCCATATATGTGAGTCTCGAATTTCTTGTAACCACAATTTTGAAACTTACAAAGAAACAATTCGTTTTTGCTTTCTTTAAATGTAAGAGTAGCTGACATAATATTGTAGTAGTTTCAGGTAAAACAACAGAGGGAATCAACATTTTTATACATTGCAAAACGCTCCCCATGAGTTTAGTGACCATCTGTCACGGTAGCAGGTTCCTGAAATATCATTGATTATATTCCCCAGGCTGTACCTTTCATCTGCATGACTCATTTATTTTACAACTGGGAGTTTTTAACTCTTGATCCCCTCCACCTCTTTCTCCTCTGGCAACCATCAGTTTATTCTGTTTATGAATCGATTTCTGTTTTTCTGTTTGTTCGTTTTTTTTTTTTACATACACTACAAAGAAGTGAAATCATATAGTATTTGTCTTTCCCTGTTTGAATTATTTCACTTAGCCTAATGCCGTCTAAGTCCACCCACATTGTCACAAATGGCAAGATTTCATTCTTTCTTTTGACTGAGTACCATTCCATAGTGTATATGAACCACAGTTCCTCTGTGCATTCATCTGTCTATAAACATGGTGGTTGTTGCCATATCTTGGCTATTATAAATAATGCTGCAATGAACATAGGTGTACAAATACCTGTTTGAATTAGCGTTTTTGAGAATTAGTTTTAATAGTATACTTAATTTAACGTAATTGGTCAAAATATCATAATATCAACCTGTGATCAAAATAAATATTATTAATAAGATATTTTACATGCTTCACCTCACACTGTCTTCAAAATCTGGTGTGTGTTTCACACTGACAGTGAGTCTCAGTCCAGACTTGTGATATTCCGCGTGTCCCTGGTGGCCACCCCATTAGATGGCACAGCTCTAGAGCGTGTGAGTTAATAGGCACCCAGTAACGGAGCGAGACCAGGGGCTCCTTATCTCGCCAAGTTTCCTTGTGCCCTGAGTTCTTTCAAAATAATTGACATGGGAATAATCGTTGTGCCTTTAAAATAAAATATTCATAAATTGCCACATGGACTTAGAAAACCCTGTTCTAGCTAAAGGTAGGTAAACTGTTAAGGTAAGTAAAATCTCAGACATTTTACATTTTAATTACAATGGTTTCGGTAAGGAGTTTGAATCTTAACATTTTCCAGGTGGAAAGGTTCCTAAGGATTATTTACCAAACCCTCCAATTTTACAAATGGCAGAGTCTCAGAATCACTCAACTAGATATTATTCCTAGGGGTGTCCCATTCTTCTTCCCTTTGTCCAGGTTACTGTGTGTGTGTGTGTGTGTGTGTGTGTGTGTGTGTGTGAGTGACACGTGTCCACACAACAGAGCCAGAGAAACAAGGGCCGCGGAGGTGGGGAGAGCAGGACAACAGAACAGGAGCTGAGAGGCTTTTTCAAGCCACAAATACCAGGGCCCCACCCCGCTCTGTTGAATCGGAGCTGGACTCGTGACCAGGTTAAGGTAGCACCACTGCTAATCTATCAGGACACCTATATTATCATTGGAAATGTGACAAAACAGAAGAAGATTTTTTCTAACCAAAATACCTGAAAGGTAAAAACTTGGAATACTTTAACTATTTGGAGTGTTGGCCTAATGGGGAAGCAAAAAAAGGGAGATGAGCGGGGGTGGAGAAGGATCCGTAGGACACTCGGAAATAGCAGCAGCCAATGCCGCCGTTGGCAGAGAGGGCACCCAGGGCGCTGCACTCCTGTTAGCTGCTGCATGTGTGTGAAGTTGGGCGTGGAAACAAGTTGCCCCAGTAAGAAAGGTCAGGTTGAGGACACACCCACCATCTTCCTCCTCCTCCTCCCCCGTAGAACAGCATCTTCTCTTCCAAAAAAAAAGAAGGAAAATATTTTAGAATATCCCTTTTGTCCCCAGTTGATCAGTCCGATCATAACGCTGAGTCATGAACCGTCCTGAGACACCCACCTCTGTCAGCGTGGACCTGGCTAGGGCTGCGCGACCTAAGAAGCTCTCCAGGTGAAGCTTTGAGGCCTCCCCCCACCAAGGTGAAAGCCCTTAGGGCCCTCTGTCCTGTGTTCACGTGCTGCCCATCACCTGGGGAGTCATTAAAGTGCACGTTCTGATTCTGGACCTGGGATGGGGCCCCGGGTCCTGCATTTCTGACAAGCTTCTGGGTGGCGCCTGTGCTGCGTAGTAAGGCCCCACCCAGAACATTCAATGTTCGTCTGAACAAAGTGGCATAAGCACCCCCAGGCATTTCCTCTTTTCACACGCTGCCTGCCCCGCCCTAGGGCCTGGGGCCCCCGCCCCTCGGGGCGCAGCGAAGAGGTGGGGAATTAAGAGATCCCGGGGCCTGGGCCGCACATGGCGCCCAGGGGCGCCCGCCGCCTTGCCCTGGGGCGCATGTCCTCTCACCCCGTGTCCCTCTGCCTTCAGGTGACCAAGCTCGAGAGGGAGAAGGCCCAGGAGGCGAAGAGGATCCGCGAGCTGGAGCAGCGCAAGCACACGGTGCTGGTGAGCGAGCTCAGGGCCAAGCTCCACGAGGAGAAGATGAAGGAGCTGCAGGCCGTGCGGGAGGCGCTGCTCAAGCAGCACGAGCAGGAGATGCACAGGACCGGGAAGGTGCGGGACGCCGAGGTCCAGAGGCTCCGGGCGGCGCTGTGCGCGCTCCGCGACGGCGGCGGCGACAAGGCGAGGAGCGCGCCCACCGCCGAGGCCCGGGAGGAGGCCCGCAGACTCTTCGACGCCGAGCGCCTCAAGCTCCTGCAGGAGATCGCGGACCTGAAGGCGTCCAAGAAGCAGGTGGACGAGGCCCTGAGCAACATGATCCAGGCGGACAAAATCAAGGCCGGGGACCTTCGCAGCGAGCACCAGTCCCACCAGGAGGCCATCTCCAAGATCAAGTGGGAGTCGGAGCGGGACATTCGGAGGCTGGTTAGTGACCCGGTGTGGGGGGGCCGGGGCAAAGCCGCCTCCTTTCCGGGCGTCAGGGGGCCGTGGGGTGCAAAGCCGCTCCCCTTCCGGGTGTCAGGGGGCCGTGGGGTGCAAAGCCGCCCCCTTTCCGGGCGTCAGGGGGCCGTGGGGTGCAAAGCCGCCCCCTTTCCGGGCGTCAGGGGGCCGTGGGGTGCAAAGCCGCTCCCCTTCCGGGCGTCAGGGGGCCGTGGGGTGCAAAGCCGCCCCCTTTCCGGGCGTCAGGGGGCCGTGGGGTGCAAAGCCGCTCCCTTTCCGGGTGTCAGGGGGCCGTGGGGTGCAAAGCCGCCCCCTTTCCGGGCGTCAGGGGGCCGTGGGGTGCAAAGCCGCCCCCTTTCCGGGTGTCAGGGGGCCGTGGGGTGCAAAGCCGCTCCCCTTCCGGGTGTCAGGGGGCCGTGGGGTGCAAAGCCGCCCCCTTTCCGGGCGTCAGGGGGCCGTGGGGTGCAAAGCCGCCCCCCTTCCGGGCGTCAGGGGGCCGTGGGGTGCAAAGCCGCTCCCCTTCCGGGTGTCAGGGGGCCGTGGGGTGCAAAGCCGCCCCCTTTCCGGGCGTCAGGGGGCCGTGGGGTGCAAAGCCGCCCCCCTTCCGGGCGTCAGGGGGCCGTGGGGTGCAAAGCCGCTCCCCTTCCGGGTGTCAGGGGGCCGTGGGGTGCAAAGCCGCCCCCTTTCCGGGCGTCAGGGGGCCGTGGGGTGCAAAGCCGCCCCCTTTCCGGGCGTCAGGGGGCCGTGGGGTGCAAAGCCGCTCCCCTTCCGGGTGTCAGGGGGCCGTGGGGTGCAAAGCCGCCCCCTTTCCGGGCGTCAGGGGGCCGTGGGGTGCAAAGCCGCCCCCTTTCCGGGCGTCAGGGGGCCGTGGGGTGCAAAGCCGCTCCCCTTCCGGGTGTCAGGGGGCCGTGGGGTGCAAAGCCGCCCCCTTTCCGGGCGTCAGGGGGCCGTGGGGTGCAAAGCCGCTCCCTTTCCGGGTGTCAGGGGGCCGTGGGGTGCAAAGCCCCCCCTTTCTGGGTATCAGGGGTTCCGGAGGGTTTGCTGTTTTCAGACGTTTCTCATGAGCAGATTTTAAACACTACCCACCCCTTGTCTAGTGCTCTATCCAAAATACATATACGTCCGTTGGTAGGTGGGGAGGTAAATAGATGGACATCCCCAGGCCAGAGTCAGAATGGTAAAATGTAAAAGAGTTTGGAATCACCTTTCTCATAAAAACTGGATTCTTCTGGCCTCAAACATATAGAGTGTCTATTCAATGACTCCTGTTTTCTTTGATGCTTATAAAAATATTCTAAATTATGAACTCTATCAAAATCAGCGTATTTTTGTGGGCTTTCCATTTATAAAATGCCATTGGGCTTTTACAGAGATGAGGAAAGCTCTCGTGGCTTCCGAGATGACTGAAAATGGCTGAAAACGGCCGTACTGGGAACAGCCTGTGTTACTCACCTGCCTTCTTTCCAGGAACTGCATCCAAAACAAGAAATAGAGCTATGAAATCCCTAGTCATTTCTAAGATAGATCTTCTTTCCAAAAATTAACAGGGGCCATTCAAAATAGGGGCCGTTTTATTTTTTTAATTGGACATTATTCCTAAGTAGCTATTTGCCATTATCAATTTCCAAGACTTAACTTTAACGCTTTGGTGTTGGGTTTTTCTTTTTAATATGGTCATGCCCTGTGCTTAAAAATAAAACAAATGTGATTATTGTGGGAAAGCTATAATGTCCTAGGTTGACCTTGTAAGTAAATATTTACATGCATTTATATTGAGAATTAACTATCAAATTATATCGTTAACTATCATCTATTAGAATGTACTTTATGCTTCTCTAAAAATAATATTTTCTTGGGAAAAACTACACTTTCTGTTGATGCTAAGCAATTATTTTCTAGGAACTCCAATTATGTTCCTTGGACAATATTGCTAGGATTTCAATTTTAAGTAAAAAGTGGTCACAATAGAACATTTAAAAAAGTTAAACCCATGTCACTTGCTTTGTATTCTTCGTACTGCAGTATACACACTGTGACTATACGTCCTTGCGGTGCCCCACTTCCTGAATTCTTTGTCTGCCATTCATCCTATTGCTCTGCTTGACAGTAACCAGACACAGTGCAGAAATACTGGTTTCTGCCCTGCCTTTGGGTTTTGAAAGGACAGGGGCTGATGAAGAAGAAATCAGGGCTGTGAACTCCAGAGACGGCAGGCAGGTAAACAAGGAGGCTTTCCATGAAATACTTGTGTTTGTTGATGGTTTTCCATGTAAAAATCTGTAAACATACCCACCCACTTGTTGATCTGTTTTCCCATGACTTCCTCTCCAGCACACTGCTGAAATGAGATGAAATCCCTGTTAACAACAATGTAAAATCTACGAGAGGTTCAAAAATCCGGTGCAAGCAGAATACCATGGGAAAATTTTTCAGTAACACGGATGCACTTGTCTTCATCTTTTCCTTCTTCTTATCCTGTCCCTACCCCTGTGTCCACCTCCATTTTTGGAACCTAAAGGGAGAAAAATGGGAACCATTCAGTCTAGAAATTTGCTCCAGGGAATTCTGGTATATAGCCCATTACAATCTAAAAACTAGAACTTTGGAAGATTTTCCTTATGCTGAAGCCAGAGCCTGTGCTTATAGCCACTGTGTAATAGAGCCTCCTCAGCACAAATCACTGAATATTCTACAGAAAACCACTTTGGAAAATGCTGGGAGTACAAGAATAATCTCAGAGTCAGGATGACAGAGTGCCAAGTAGAATGGGCTCTAAAATTAGAAGACTGGACCTAAAATCAGGCATCACCACTTAGAGCCATATGACTGTGAGCAAGTTTTTAATCCTTCGGGCCCTCAGTCTTCATCTGTAAAATGGTGATAACGGAATCTACTCGATAGGGTCACCATGAAATGAGATAAGGTATGGAAAGCTCTGAGCATAGTGTCTCGAGTGTATCAATGAATTGTAGTTACGGTGGTGGTGGTGATGAGCACGATTACATGGACGGTAACAAAACGGCTTCCTAGCAACCTCAGGTAGGTAGGGTACACGTGGGCCATGTCCGAGCATGCAGATCTGCAGCTGTGATGACTGTCCGTCATGCCGTAGATGACCGGTCTAACAAATGAGTGTGCCACTCAGTTAAGAATAACACTGGATTCAAGTCTTTTACAAGGAAATAGAAGTTAAAGACAATGCTTTTATTCCCAAGTTAACAGGACAGGCTTCAGGTGGTATCACAGGGCCTGGCAGAATTGAGCCCGATGCCTTCCCAAACTTGACCTAAAATTTAATCTTGTGACTTGAAAGCGGTAGTTATGGATATTTACATATGGAAAAATGTGACTCTAACACAATTTCTGTCGCAGTTTTTTTGGTCTGTGGAACACAGCAAAGAACGATTTATACAAGGCATTTGTTATGTATAAGGAGACATTTTTATAAGGAGGAGAACGGTATGATATTGTCTCTGTTAAATGTGTCTATCTCTGTTTTGAATGTTCTCATGGAGTACGATGGAAGGTGTCGCCTGATGGCGCGCTCGCTTCTGAAACTGTTCAGACACTCACTTCACTAGGCCTCTTCTGGGAACGGCAAAAAGTTTTCAGTCCAGTGAAACTCCGAGGAATTGGTATTAAATGCTTATGTCCTTTAGCTGAGAAATATTCTGGAGGCCCTGCCCAGGTGTAGCAGAAATGGGCGTTGGGATCAATAAATAGATCCCACAGATAAAGGAGGGAAATAGTAGCCAGTGCGACCAGGTGCTTTCCATACCTGTTCTGGTACTGGCCATGATTTTCTGACCATCACGGTGAAATGACTACTGAGACCCGGCTACTCTGAAATACGAATACAGATGGAAAGAGCCACACAGCATGAACACTGCAAGGACTGGCTCCAGATTCACCCCCTGAATACAAACATGCAGGCCCTAGGGGATGACTGGATGCTGGGAGGTCCGCAGCCTCTTCAGTCACCGGTGACCAAACAGGAGGCAGCAGCAAAATTTTCCTGGGAAACATCTAGCAGAGTATTTGCTGTGCGTCTTTATTAACCCATGTGATTCCCCCTCGTCTGACACCGAATGCAGTGGTGTATTTTCTCCCTACATGTGTGTGTAACAGTAACAACATTATACACAGCAGTAATAGTAGTGTAACTCCATTCGGGTTCCCGGACCCAATTCCAGTGTGTAAGTATGTGGGAGGGGGTCTTTCCACACACACTGAACACCAAGCAACTCTCAACACCAGCAGGGTGTCTGAGATCTCAACTCAATTCTGATGCTGTCTGCCAGGAGACAGCACCAGATTCCAAGGTTAAGGGCTCCGTTCTGCAGGACTGCCCTCCCGCCCCCCTCTCCAGATACCGGTCTCAAGCCCCAGGCAGTTCCCTGTGCTTCCGACCTACTGGCTACAGATTGGAGGTTCCCACGAGCTCCCTCTTAGGTTCAATTAATTTGCTAGAGCATCTCACAGAACTCAGGAAAACACATTTACCAGTTTAATAAAGGACACTGTAAAGGATACAAGTTAACAGCCAGATGAAGAGAGACACAGGGCAGGGTCCCAAATAAAGGAGCTTCTATCCCCGTGGAGCTTGGGGCTTGGCTCCGGGGCTCGTGGAGGCGATGTGGTGCCCCAGCCAAGAAGCAGGATCCAGCCGAGCGCAGCAGGCAGGACAGAGCAGAGCAGAGACAGCAAACGGCTCTTCTTAGGGCTGTTTGTGAGGGCTTCATTGCATAGTCATGACGGACTAAATTATTGGCCACTGGCTGATTCCACCTTCAGCCCCCACCCTTGGGTGGGTCCAGAAGTCTCTCATTAACGTGACAGAACCCCTGTTCCACCTTTAAGACTGCAGTGTTTTTAGGAGCTGGGGATGAAGACCAGCTTTACCTGGGAAATACACATTTGGTCATATGAACGACTGAGTATATACTTCCTATAGCTCATTATATCACAGCCCTGATGAGCCGTTTGAAAGTGGGCCTTTCCTTTCCACATCCAACCAACCCAGACCCTTGCAGACACTGCACTGACTCAGAGTGTGTGCCCAGGCTGTGACCCCTGAGCAGCCGGAGACAGCCCTTCATCACACAGTGCCGCCTCTTCTTATTCATGAATTAAGTACACTCATCATGTTCATGACTTTTTTCTCTATTAATCAAAAAGACGTGAAACTCATACCATTGAAAAAATGCATTTCTTTACAGCATTGTTAATGAAATGTCTTGGGTGTCATTTAATTCAGATGGATGAAATCAAAGCCAAGGACAGGATCATCTTTTCCCTGGAAAAGGAGCTAGAGACCCAAACAGGCTATGTACAGAAACTCCAGCTGCAGAAGGAGGCCTTGGACGAGCAGCTCTTCCTGGTCAAGGAGGCCGAGTGCAACATGAGCAGCCCGAAGCGAGAGATCCCAGGGCGGGCGGGCGACGGCTCCGAGCACTGCAGCAGTCCTGTGAGTCTACTCACGCTGAAGTTAAGAACTCAGGAGCCATCTTTTATTTAGCTCCCAGGTTTTTACTTTTCACTTAAGCTCTTTTCCTGTTTGCTACAAAGAAATCAATTCTGCTGCTGCTAAAAAAAAAAACCAGCTAGTGTCTTGGGAACAGGGTTTTCTAAACTCATGGGCAGCGAAGTAGTCTGCCGTGCATTAGCAGATCACAAGAGAATTACAGCTCTTTTTAAATCCTTCATAGAACTGCTCTAGCCAAGGGATACCCATCCCACCTTCAGCCTATTAGGAGAATCATAAATTAGAAGAAAATCCTTTGCCTTTCACCAAGACTGGTAATTTTCCCTTGTGTGAACAATTGGGTTGGAAAGTGGTTAAAGACTGTTATCATCTACAGGGGTCAAAATCCCTAACTGTATAAAAAAACTAAACCATTAATAGCCATCGTCTGAAAGCTTCTAGTCTGATTGAACCTGCCACTTATTTCCCTGGATTTTCATCATTTTGTATGAAAAATGATTTTCAGAAGTGCAGCGACTGAAATCAGCGTGTTTATAGTTGACTTTCATATCTTATATGTTTCAAATTATGTAGCTGAAAGCTGAAAATGTATTATTTAAGAACAGAGATAGGTTCCAAAGCAGTACTTAGAACTAAGTAATGAATGATTCATGAGTTGGTATTTATCCCAGTGGGTGGCAGAAAGTACCAAATTAGGATTTAGCAGGTACAAGTTTTAGTTCTACCACTGACACCTGCAGTGCAGCAAAACTGTCAAGAAAATGGGCTTTAGAGTTGGACCCTATAGTTCAAGTCCTGGATCTGCCATTTGCTGTGACTTCAGGCAAATCATTTCCTTTCCCACAGTTTCCTCATTTGTAAAACTGAGGTAATAGTAGTGCCCTTCAGTGACGGTCTAGGGCTGAGAAGAGATGGGAAGGAAGGTGTTGGGCACAGCGTCTGCACATAGTGCTCAGTGCATGTTAGTTATGATCTATTGACAGTAACCAAAAGACCTTGCATGAGTCTTACCTGTCCTGCTGAATCCTCTAAAATATTGTGAATCTTAGAGATACAATGTATGTGAAACTGCTTTGTTAACAGTATGGCCACTCTCAAGATGTAAGATGATAATATATAATTGCAAGGGTAAAATGGTCCTATGGACTCTAGAGCATAGAATTAGTCCTGGCTGCTGTGTGTAAAGCGATCTATGGCAGTCATGCCAGTGGGGAAGCCAGCTGCTCCGGGAGAAACATGCTGGTGGAGGCTGTCCTGTCATCTGCCTTTTGTTTGGAGGTGATAGGCCAGCCTCGCTCTGATTTTTTTCTCCAGGAATATGCAGGAATTCACAAAGCCCATCCCTACCTCCTTTCTTTGGCTAAGTGTGATGGCAGGACATCTGTCTAAGGTGTGGGAAGGATGCTCCTTGAGCCTCCTGTAGTCACGACTTGACCTTGGGCTCACAGCTCACTGATCTGATAAGCTGACCCAGCCACCTACACTCCCTCTGCCAGGAGTCAGGGCTGCAGGGAGTAGCCGCTACATGGAATTCATTTGCCGTTTCAGACAGACTTGGTCTTCAACCTACATGGTGAATACTGGGGGTCAGAAGGGGGTAAATATTTACTCTTCTCTAAATAAAAGAGCATTTTATTCTCACCTCATAAGCCAGATGAAAAGAGTGGAGCCTATTCCTTTTTCAAGTGGTATTCCAAAACTTCATGGCAAGCATCATTGAAGTAAAACCCATTTTGATTTTCACGGGTAGGATTTGCGAAGAAATCAAAAGAGAATAGCTGAATTGAATGCCACTATAAGAAAATTAGAAGACAGGAACACCTTGCTTGGAGATGAAAGAAATGAATTGGTAAGTTCTAATCAGAATTTTTTACTTATTTTTTGTTAAGCTTTTTATTACAAAAGTATGTATGATGTTATAGAAGTATAATAGAATAAGGAAAGGTACATAAATAATAAAGGAACAAGTGACACACCCATATAACCACCACACAGGTGAATAAGTAGATTGTCAGCTTTTGTTTTTATACCCCACAAATGAGTGAAATCATTTGGTATTTGTCTTTCTCCGCCTGGCTTATTTCACTGAACATAATACCCTCTAGCTCCATCCATGTTGTTGCAAATGGGAAGATTTCTTTTCTTTTAATGTCTGAGTAATATTCCATTGTGTATATACCACATCTTTATCCGTTCATCTACTGATGGACACTTAGGTTGCTTCCATATCTTGGCTATTATAAATAAGTGCAGCAATAAACATAGGGGTGCATATGTCTTTGAATCATGGATCTTGTTTTCCTTGGGTAAATTCCTAGGAGTGGAATTACTAGGTCAAATGGTACTTCTATTTTTAGTTTTTTGAAGAAATTCCATATTGCTTTGCCCAGCAGCTGTACCAATTTACATTCCCACCAGCAGTGTAGGAGGGTTCCCCTTTCTCTGCATCCTCGCCAGCATTTGTTGTTCCTTGTTTTTTGGATATTGGCCATCCTAACTGGTGTGAGGTGATATCTCATTGTGGTTTTAATTTGCATTTCCCTGATGACTAGCGATGTGGAGCATCTTTCCATGTGCCTGTTGGCCATTTATATTTCTTTGGAGAAGTGTCTGTTCAGATCCTCCTCCCATTTTTTAATTGTGTTATTTGTTTTTTGGGTGTTAAGGCATGTGAGTTCTTTATATATTTTGGATGTTAACCCCTTATTGGATAAATTGTTTATGAATATATTCTCCCATACTGTAGGGTGCCTTTTTGTTCTGCTGATGATGTCCTTCGCTGTACAGAAGCTTTTTAGATTGATGTAGTCACATTTGTTCATTTTTTACCAATTACCATCTTTCTAAAGTTAACCAGTAGACTGAATTCTGTCACTATAGATGTCTATCACCATTTTTAAAAATGTGTTGTGAATGAAATCACACAGTCACTACTCTTGTGTGTCTGGCTTTGTTCCTCAGCATTACATTTTGAGAATCATCTATTATGCTGCCACCCAGAATTCATCTATTTTCATACTCTCTTGTTTTCAGTTATTCAATATATTTATCCTTCTATTGTCAGTGGAATTTATATTGCTTCTCAACAGTTTTAAGTTGTTAAAGATGCTGTTACATGTCTTTGGTGAGAAAATGTGTTCATTTCTGGTGGGAATATCCCAAGGAGCAGAATTACTGGATCACAGCATATGCACGTGGTCCTCTTCAGCAGCTATTATCCGCTTTCCACAATTGCAAGTTACATTCTCACCAGCAATGTATGAGAGTAGCCGTTTCTCCACATCTTTGCCAACATACAAAGATAATTGATCATTTTAGTCATTTTGGTGGGTGTGAAGTACATTCTTATTGTAGGATTTTAATTTTTATTTTCCTTCTTAGAAATGAGGCTGAGTAACTGTTCAAATATCTATTTGAAATATAGATATACATATATAGTTCATCTTTTATTGTATTAAGGTGTACCTTTTAAAAGGAACATTTTTGGGGGACACTTTGTGCCTTTTTGGGTATCCTGTATGATTTGTGCTTGGTCTTTGCCCATTTTCTTTTATGCTGCTTTGTTTTCTTTTAATATTAGGGATTTTTTACATCATTTTTGCACATTTGTATTTTAAATATCCCACTTCTCTGCTTTACATCTTACATTCTGAATAGTGGCTGTTAATATAAAGGAGTTATTTCCAGCTTTCCATTTGTCAAATATATGCACCATAGGTCATAAATCTGTCTCAGTGTGGCTTTAGCTTCATCCTGTAAGTTGTTTATGTCAGAGTGTATTCCTATTTAGTTCAAAAACTCTTCTCCAATATCATATAATTTATTCTTTAACCTGTGGGTTACTTAGTGATATATGGTTTAATTTCCAAACATTTGGACATTTTTTGAGTTCTCTTTTTGTTGTTTTTACCTTAATTTCACTGTAGTTAGAGAACATAGTTTGCATCGTTTCATCCCTTTATTATATTATATGTATATATATATATATATTGCTGAGGTTTGCTTTATGACTCCAGCATAAGGTCAATTGTAGAAATGTCTTGTGTTCACAGGAAGAGAAGGTATATTCAGCAACTACTCGATGCATTTTGAGTCATTTATTAATAGTCTCATTTTAAATCTATATCCGTACTGATATTTTTGCCTGCTTGTTCTCACAAGAGATTTGTCCATTTCTCTTCTTAGTTCTGTCAGTTTTGCTTCATATATATATTTGAAGTTACATATAAATTAAGATTCATTATATATTTTCATCATTATGAATTTTTTTATCTCTAATAGTACTTTTTTGATTGAAAATCTTTGATAATAGTTGAAGTAATACCAAATTTTTTCCTTTTAGTGTTTATATTATATATGTGTGTGTATATATTTTTATACACATATATATTTCATCTTTTATTGTATTAAGGTGTACCTTTTAAAAGGAACATTTTTGGGGGGCACTTTGGAGCCATGATTATTGATATATGGTATGGTAGATTTACAGATATTTCCTTTTCTTTATGTTTATCTGCATTTTCTATAAATAGCATATAATAAGTAAATTTGAATATTAAGACCATCATCATTGACCTCTAGAAAAGAGGTAAGTTTTAAAATCATGAACCTAGTAGAATAATTTATTTGTCCTTTATGTACTCAATATTTAATATCAATGCTTCAGGCATCAAAGCTCAAAACTGAGCATTAAGTGAGATTATTTTTTAAAACTAAATTTACTTTTGGCCTTTGATTTACAATGCAAGTCTTCAAATGGTGGTTTGGATAGAGTTGGGGAATACTGTTTTAGAATCATGAGAACTTTTTCAAATATTCATAGGTAGCTAAGTCTCCTACCCCAACACTTCCCAAAATATTAGATTCTCAAAAACAGGAGTGAGTACTTTAAAAATAGTTTTCAAATGTTTCTGATATGCCCTCCACTTTCCTTGCTTTGGAAACCCCTACCCCAGTACCTGCTCATATTTGAAATCATTAGTATGAAATGAATGAACTAAATGTGAGAGGTTTACCATGGAAATCCATTATGAATAAAGTGGCCATAAAATATGTCCCCCAAACAGGAGAGTTTTGGAGTCAAAGGGAGAGACTATCAACAATTATAGTCAACCCTTGAATAGCACAGGAGTTTGTGGCACCAACTCTCCATGCAGTCCAAAATCCACATAAAACTTTTGACCCCCCAAAACCTTAACTACTAACAGCCTACTGTGGACCAGAAGAAGCCTTACCGATAACATAGTCAATTAATACATATTTTGCATGTTAGATACATTATATACTGGATTCTTAAAATAAAGTAAGCTAAAGAAAATATATTTTTTTAATTGTCACAAATCTCCAAAGAATTTTCCAATATGTTCACTGAAAAAAAAAAAAGCCCACCTATAAGTGGACCTGTGTAATTCAGATCTGGGCTGTCCGAGGGGATGTGTTGCTCTGTTCTCCGAGACAGCACTCACACGCTTAGACCTGCGATGCTCAACTAGAGGCCCTCCCAGCAGTATCTGTAGAACTTGTGGTTGCCCCAACTGGGAGGGTGTTACTGGCGTCCAGTGGGCAGAGGGCAGGGATGCTGGCAAACATGCCACAATACCCAAGACAGCTCCTCACTACCGAAACATACCTGCCCGAGAGGACAGAGTGCCGAGGCTGAGGCCCCTGCCTTAGACTGACCGGGCCCACCCGAGAGTGGTCGCTCCTAGTTATGGGCAGGGGACAGCACCATCATGCATTTCCCAGGCCTAGTGACAGTGAAACGCTCGTAAGCAGGCAAGTGTCAACAGAGTTTTGAAAGTTTTGTTTTTTTTTAATAAAGCGTTCTTGAAATAAAGCCTTCATGAGTCTGGAGACTTAACAAGCCCCCTGGTGGGAAGAATGGGCCCTGGCAGCCACGGATCCAGGTCGCGGCCGAGTCACTTGGTGGCCGTGCGCCTGAGATGCGCTGCATTATCCGAGCCGGCGAGCGGCGGTGCGGGGCCCCGGGAGAGGTGCGCGCGGCCCGGAGCGGGGCTGCGCCCTGGGGATCGCCGGGCTGGGGGGCCGGGGCCGCAGGGGGCGCGCCCCCCGCCTGAGCGTCTCCCCGGCCAAGTTCCCGCTCCCGTAAGGACCCAGACCGCCGGGGGCCGCGAGCACCGCGAAGAAAGGCCTCGGGGGACCCGGAGAGCGGAGCCCGCGGCCTCCTGCGCGAGGAGTGGACGTGTCCAGGGTCGGGCCCGAGCCGGCAGGGAAGCAATGGCAGCCCTACAGGGGGGCCTTCTCCCGCCCCATGTGCCCCCACGTGCAGGGCACACATTGTCACTTCTGTTTTCCCAGTTAAAACGTGTGCGGGAAACCGAAAAACAATGTAAACCTCTTCTGGAACGGAACAAGTGCCTCGCCAAGAGAAACGATGAGCTGATGGTGTCCCTGCAGCGCATGGAAGAGAAGCTAAAAGCCGTTACCAAGGAGAATTCAGAAATGGTGGGTATCGCAGACCCCACCGAGCTGCAGCCTCCTTCATGTTACTCCACTAGCCTGACGTATGGTTCTTTCTCGACTTATTTTTAAAATACAGTGCTTCTCATGAAAGTTCGGATTTTCCCCTGTATAAGCAAATAACTGTTAGGAGCAAAGCAAGAGAGAAGGTTGCTCGCTTGGAATGTTACGGGGTTTCTAAATTTGCAGAATAGTTGAGTGTCTCCAGGAATCTGCATGCCCCCCAAAGCTCCAAACAGTGAAGTGAAGTTTAACATAGCCCCTCGCCACGGAAACCTCCTTCAAGAATTTCACTAACATGCTCTTTACAGAACTGTGCAGAAGGGGGACCCATTATCTTCTAAGATCTTGCATAATTATTGGGAAATAGATGTCATCACCTATATTATAGTATGTATGGAGAAGTGACAAACTAATGCACACACTCCTCAGCAGACTTACAATACAGCTATACAGATCTGCAGACATTCTCAATGATTCCAACTTTTTATGGCAGATAAAATGTACTTGCGGGTTTTACTTGGTGTGTGTATAGTGGAACTGAACAATTTTCAAATTTAGCTGGAGTCTCACAGAGTTTCTGCAAGTATTCTAGGTAAACCACTAAAGTTTGGAATTTTTAAAATCTCCACCTGTACTTTTCCTTTTCCAATTCAGAGAGAAAAAATAACATCCCATCCACCGCTGAAGAAACTAAAATCTCTGAATGACCTCGATCAAGCTAATGAAGAACAAGAGACAGAATTTCTAAAACTTCAGGTCATTGAGCAACAGAACATTATTGATGAGCTCACAAGGGTAGGTCATGCTCAACCTATAAACCCTAAGCTGTTCCCAAGGACAAGTAGCCAAGATATCAGCATACACTTAAGTACTTAGTAATTTTGGATTAGCCCCAGAGGCCAAGTTTGTATGTTTAATATGTCAATAGATTCTAGAGACTCAATTCAAAAATACTTCCTATTATTAAATTGTTTTATACATTTTTATTTATAATACTTTGTTAACTAATTTGTAACAAATAATATTTGCAAAGCACATTAAAAGAACAAATGCATCGTCACAAAAGTAGGTAGGTAGTGTGGGTATACCTTGTCATTGCCTTCCAATATCACGATGCTGAGGCTCAGAGATGAAATAGTTTGCTTACAATAGTAGGACCGTATGCCTCTTTCCCTATACCTAACTCAGTGTCGCACACGTAATTGCAGTTTAAGAAATATTTACATGACGAAACAGGAACCCTAGTCCAGATCTTCTGACCATGACTTCAGCCTCTGGGGAAGCAGGTAGAGTAGTTATTATTCCCAATTGCATCTGGTCAAGGTCTGTGTTACCCACAGTGGGCCGAGACCTTTAAATGCCCTAGGGCCTCCTCTTTGCCCCTCTGTCTGTATTCTGTGAATGACATCTCTGATAGCGCTTGCTCCAAGACAAAGCCAGGGCACAGAGAGTTGAAGAACCGATGTTGGGGAGTTTTAAGCAGTAGTCCCCAGACTAGGGCAGGCCAGACGACTTACTGTCTTGGAGGGAAGAAAAGATTACAACTTCTGTTTATGTATGGCTCATCCTCTTGAAAGTTCCTATGTTGAAAATACATTATAATACACATATAATACTAGGATGGTAATCTGAGTGTATGTTTTTAAAGTTTCACTTATGTCAAAGTTGCATGATCAAAATATTTTTACTTCTAAAAGTGAAAAATCAGAAAGGTTCACACCAGTGGCTTAAACCAGATTATTTACTAAACATGGTCTTCTGAAGCACTATGCCCTTCGCTTCACTTCCATAGCCTTAATAGCGTATGCATTGCACAGATTCGCTAGCCCACGAATTTGCCTGGCTTTAAGCATCCTGAGGTCCAACAAAAAGATTCTTGGAAGATTTTGACATGTTTAAGCATCTCAGTCAGACTGATTCCATCTACCTTTGAATTCGTACAGTAAGTACATGGAGTAGGTAGTGGGTGAACACCAAATTCCCAGGACATCTCTATTCACAAGAATGAATCAAGAAATTGATCACTATTTTTCAATATTCTTTGAGTTTCCCAGAATGTTCCAATGAGAACCCGCCCCCACCGAAAAAACCACTAGGTTTTTCCAGCCCAAGTAGGTTCTCTGTTCCCATCTTCAGAGACTATGGGTAAAAACAATTGTGTAATAGTCAAAAGATGGCTTTCTGTGATTGAATGAACAGAATAAGTTCTTCTTTATTGTGAAATAATATTTGTTCAACACTTAAATTTCAAGTCATTTGGGTCTAAGAAAACTGAAGAATTGAGTAACTATTTTCAGAGCTATTTGTTCTTCAAGTATAAAACAAAGGATTCTGATCAGGAGCTCAAGGCCCTTCTGGACCGTGAGGTTCTCAGATCCACACAGATTAGAGGAAAAGTAGAATCGTTTTTAAATATTTCAGTATCAAACTCTAAAGTTGCCAAAATGTACAAAACATAATCTCAAGTAGAATTACAGAGTGCATCAGGGGAAAACAACTCTGTCTCCGTAAAAAAAAAAAACCTATAGGGAAGTATGTGCCAATTCAAGATCTGAAAGATCCACCTGTTTTCCAGGACCGAGAAAAGCTCATCCGCAGGAGGAGGCACAGGAGAAGTTCCAAGCCCATCAAGGTAATGAGACAACAAGGGCGGTCAGGCTTTTTCCACATACACAGCCAGCGAAGTGAGGCTTGCAAAGGAATCTTCCTGCAAAGATGTGATAGATCAGATGTTCCTGAACTGCAGCAAACCACAGGTTTTATTTGCTAGAAGCAAATCTGGTCTCTTGACAGTTCTCAGAAGCAAGAGAATTTTAACCTGCAAAGGTTTGCTTTATTATGACTTCCTCTGAGTGAAGAAATGACATAGGAAGTGTTACCTGACCAATCGGAGAGCCACACTCTAAGAACATGCAAGAGACACGCATGAGCTGACATCTCCCACTGAATAATATTAGCACCTGATACCTCCCCTATAAGTGATTATACATTTTCACCATTCACTTGGACAATATTACTGCAGATGATACCCCCAACCTACCAATATCTGTAGAGCTTCTGATAATACGCAGTTTTGTTTTTTAATATGGCTATTTGTTTGATTTTTGTTTTTTGTCATGTACATCATTTGATTTGGATATGGACTTAGGTGATACGACTTAAGATTTGATAATCCCCTTCTGTTGATCCCCATATTTTTGTTTATTTTATATATGTTTATTTCATCAAAGAAGCATTAAAAGACCCATGTCTTCTTTCGTTAATTTGCGCTTATATGCCAGTTGACAGCGCTTTACTAATACGTCAACTTTCCCCTCATTTAGCTGTGTCAGTAAAGATATACTTTCCCTCTGCTAGAGGCCTGTTTTGGACCCATTCATTGGGTATGATGAGGACTCCATGGATTCAGAGACATCATCCATGGCTTCATTTAGAACAGACCGAACACCAGCTACTCCTGACGATGACTTAGATGAAGTAAGCTTTTCCACTTCTCTAGTCTTTTGTGATATTGTCACCAAAACTTTCCTTGAAGGAGGGAGCAAAAGCAATTCACTTTTATCTCCTCTACAAATAGCACAAGATGATCTCACAACAGTGACCAGTTTTGAGACCACACTTGACTTTGTTATCAGAAAAAACTAGTTGCATTTATTTAAAAGCTTCTCTAGAGTTCACACTGTAACTTGAAGATTTCTTTCAAAATAAAACTTACTCTCCCAAGTTCTTCATCTAGGGAAATTATAAACCAAAGAACAAGCTTTTAGTGCAGTCTCAGACAGTGTTAATTTAAGCCAAGTGTGCTCAACAACCACCTTCATCAGAATTATCCCAGGGGTTCAGTAACAGCGACAATTCCTGGGCTGTGATACACAGCTCTTGACTCGGGATCTTGTGGGTGGATTCCCCAAATCCTCATTTTTCACAAACCTCCCTGGTGATTATACTGTGCTCTGAAATTTGAAATCTAAAGCTATAAAACCCAAGTTTTTATGATTTATCTGGGGAAGAAGTTGTTGGACGTGAATGTACTGAAAAGACCTGACACTGAAACTCTGAGTATCATTTCCTCCAAGTTGGATTCAAAGTCTGGGTATAAGTTCCTTTGTTTGGATCCAATTTGACTGTAACCCAAACCCAAATGGTAATAATCAGAAACAAGTGAATAGGCAAATGCCTCTTTAATCAATAAATACTTAAATTCAATGTCCATCTTGGAGGTACTGTAGTATTTGTGCCCATACACATACTTTACAATTAAAAATAAAATCACACAGAAACCAGTATGAAACAAACCTTTACTTTCCCTTTAAAAAGTGGACAAATCTTAGTATTTCACAGGACGCTATCATAACATACTTAATTTTTGGCTTTTTTTTTTTTTTGAACCTCAAGAGTTTAGCAGCTGAGGAATCTGAGCTACGATTTCGACAATTAACAAAAGAATACCAGGCCCTCCAAAGAGCATATGCTCTCCTGCAGGAACAGACCGGAGGCATCATCGATGCTGAAAGAGAAGCCAAGGTCAGTGGGCATCCGGGGAGGCGCTCTGAGTTGGCCTGCAGTAGCCACAGCGTAAAAGCACGTGACATAAACATGTCAGTAGGATAGCTTGCCCTGTACCCTTCTCTTTTGACTGTTTTATCTTTCATGTCAACAAACCTTGGATCTAGAGACAATAGAAATAGCCTAGATCAATGCTTATTTTCCCTCTAAAGATAGCTGAGGACAGTTTTTTTCTTGCTCTTGGGAAACTTAACATTTTCAATATGGACAATGTTGAATTTTGATAATCCATTTTTTTAGTTTCTTGCTTGGGGGCAAAAAGAAATTTTTATGGTTAGCCAGTTTCTTTTCTTAGTTAATAACTGCACAGTGTTATACTGACAACTTACCAAAAAATTTCTACTGACAATATCTCATTTAGTCCTTGTGATAGCTTCTAAGGCAGGTGTTTGATAAAAGAGGAATTCTGAGCAAAATAGTCTAAAACAAATCAGTATGTTAGAAAAAGAGCAATAGAGTCAATCCAAAGAAAGAAATGCAGAAATAGATGATATAGATGAAAGAGCATCAATGAAAACTAAAGATATATTCATTTTGATACAAGAAGAAAAAGAATTATACTCAATGCTCTCTTGAAGTTTAAATGATTCTTAGTAAAATTAAGCTTGGATGTTTTTTAACCTGATAAAGGTAAATATAGTATTTAACAATGCAAAGAGTCTCCTGACAATGAAGAGTAAGAAAGTGATATCTACCGCTGCTGATTTTATTCAGCTTTGAACCAAAGAACCTATCCAAGTCACAAGACAAGAAAAAAAATATGTGTATGGGCAGAAAACAAAAAATTAATTTTTTGCAGAAAATAATATCCTATATAAAGAGAACACAAGAGAATCTAAAAGCAAATCACTAGACTAAATAAAAGGTGCTCCATGTAAGATCAGCGTCCAAAACTGCCTATTACACACACACACACACACACACACACACAAAGCACTTGATAGGTAGGTAGGGAGAGAGACATGCATGCATACATACATAGATTTGGATTTAGGTTTAGATTTTTTAGATATATTCAGAGCACAAAGCTGGCTCTGAAAGAATGGAGAGTTTTTGGAGAGGCAAAATGGGAGAAGGCTTTCTATAAGGGAAATTTATTCAAATAAAGAGAGAAGAGTTACATTCCTTCATTGTATTATGTTACACTCATTCATTACATTCATTCAAATTAAAAAGAGTTGCAAGCATAGCTAGGAAACTAGGAAAGTACCAGTAGGTGAGGGGTGAGGGGTGGGCTCTGCTGATGAGCAGTGGGGACAGATTGTAAAGGTGGTGGGAGGTCTTGAATCCCAATCTGAAGACCTGCTGGTTGGGGGAGCCACCCAAAGACTTAAGCAAGAATTTAGATCATAAAAGCAGTTTTGAAAGATTCTTTGATCATAGAAAATTCTTCTCTTTTCTTTTTTTCCCTTGTTGAGTTCTAACAAGGGAACAGAGATGAAGAAAAATACTGAATTATCATTTCACTTACTGAGTTCTGGAATTTTGATTTCACTAGGCCCAAGAACAGCTCCAAGCAGAGGTGCTAAGGTACAAAGCCAAAATTGAAGATCTGGAGGCGACCCTGGCTCAGAAAGGGCAGGTAGGCACTTGGTTCCCAGCAGCTTGCAGGTGCAGCCAGTGCAGTCTGGCCTTCCTCTAGTCACCCTGCGCACGGCTCTCCACAGTGACCTTTCTCAAACTTGTCAGAATGTTCAAGTGTCTGTTTCTGTCCCTGGTGTTTTTTTCTGGCTAGAGTGTGAACCCAGCCACCACAGCAAATAAGGCTGGGCAACAGAGAGCATGTCCGAGGAAGAGGAGCCCCGTACAAATAGCCTTGAGTGGTCGTCAGCTCTGCAGACAAAGGCCCCCCCACCCCCTCCAGCTGCACTCCTCGCCTCTGTGCTGCATTTATGGTTCTGCATTTTAATGTCTCCATCCATATGTACCCAGCCTGTGTGCATTCTGACCCTTTCACTTTTTGCCTGTGTGGTCACTTCTGAGTCCCCAGACGGCTGGTCCTGGATTATTCAGACGGGAAAAGGTAGAGATAGTGAGGGACAAACGGAAAGGGGGTTCAATTTTCCTGGCAGCTTCGGCCCCAGTGTCTGACTGAGGAGCTGGCGGGGGTGGGTGTCGTTTGCCAGTAGTCGACAGGCGAACTAACTGGGCGAGGAGAGGGCAGCTCTGGCCAAGTGGTCTGACGACACATGCTCTTCCGTGCCACTCTGAAATGCTGACTGCGCGATATTCTTTGTCAAACAGGATTCACACTGGGTAGAAGATAAACAACTTTTCATTAAGAGAAACCAGGAGCTTTTAGAAAAGGTATGTTGGGCCGCAACACCCTAGCGGGCAGAGGAGAAAACGATGAGCGATCCAGGAGCAGCAGGGGTCCCCTCAGGAGTGGCACAGGGGCTGGGGCAAGGGGAGG